TTTTGTGGCACAACTGTGTCACTTTGACCCGGTTTGAGGTCAGTAGGCTGTGTGTGTGTGTGTGTGTGTGTGTGTGTGTGTGTGTGTGTGTGTGTGTGTGTGTGTGTGTGTGTGTGTGTGTGTGTGTGTGTGTGTGGCTGCCATGCATTATTTCATTCTCTTTTGCGTCTGGCTAAATACAAGTATATAAGAGAGGGACCTATATTCCTTGACAGTGATGTAGACTAACTTTGACCACACACACAAACTTTGCATTATGAATGTGCAACTATGGATACCATCAGATGCTTGGTTGCTCTCCTGCTTTATAAAGCAACACGAGGGCGTGCACACACACGCACACAAACTCTGCAGTGCTTCACCTGTTTATTCTTCATGCAGAAACTCCAGCAATGAGTTCAAGGCCCCCGCTGAGATTTCTGGGTAATTTATGAGCTGCCTCACCCAGAATCGCTCTCTCTGCTTGGAGCCAACCGAAAGCACACATTGCTGCACACATTGCTGCACACACGCATATCAGAAAAAAGGCACCTGCATCTGCCAACATACTCCAAGTACTCTGTGCGTGTGCGTGCGTGCGTGCGAGCGAGTGTATCTTTATCATCTGATATGAAAACAAGGTGGAATACTGCAGAGGAACCTCTCTTGCAGGTAGTTGCCAGATAGTCTTTGTTTCCTGCTGTCAACTTATCTTTCACTTCTTTCCTGTTCATATATGCGCGCATGCACACACACACACACACACACACACACGTAATTTTTTTTAGACTGTCAGAAATGGGGGATTCTAAAAATGTGTTTGTCTGTTGGCTTGATGATGAGACGGTCGTTGACTGGTAAGGAGAGAAGCATCATTGCTCTTTTTCTCTGACACACACACACATATGCATGCACAAACACACACAGCCACAGATACAGACAAATTGCAGGCTTGTCTTGAAACCATGCCGTCAGCATTAACACCAGCCACTTATGTCCTCTTTCACTCCTTTTTAGCTCTCCGTGATAAAACAAGCTATTTTTTTGAGTTTTTATTCTGCACAAACAGGTTTTTATGGAGAAACATAGCGCTTGTTAATGCGACGTGCTGCCTAATTAATTCTCGCTGCCAAATGCATGTTTTTTTGTGTTTGCCACACATGTTTTCCTTCCACCCCAATAGCCATGATTCACAGCAGCGTATTCAAACAACAACACCTCGCTCCTCTACATAAGCCCATATTGCATTCTCCCGCCTCCATGTGAATGGAGGTTAGTATATTGACAAATTCCACTTGTGGTCGGCGCTATGTGTGCCCAGACATATTTTCTTGACGTAATACGTTAAAGGAATAGCAATCATAGGGGGATGATTATTCAACCATTTCCTTCAGTGCGACCAGCACACATCTGCAATCAGTCAGTGTTATTGTGGGCTGAGATGTGTGCACACCCGTGTTTGGTGCCATATGAATGACTATATTTCATCGTTTTGCAATGTGAATTGGCTGAAGCAGCTCCACTCGGGGGAAACCACCACCGTTGCTGCTGTTAACCAGCAACATGCGTGACCTCTAGCTGTTATCTGGAGACCACTCTGGGTTTGTGTGTGTGTGTATATATGGATATATATATATATATATATATATATATATATATATTTTTGGTGTGTGTGTGTCTTTGTGTGCAATCCTCATATATTATCAGCAGTATCTGGGTTATATCTCTGACCTTGAATATCAGCTGACCATACCATACGTAAAGTATAATGCTTCACTCTAAGACTGTATGTTAACCCTTTCGAAACTCCCACTAAAGATCACGGTTTAGGAAGATTTACGTGCTCGTCTTGTGAATATGCAGCAGAGCCTAAACGATCTGTCGATTAATTAATCGGTTGAACGAAAGAATATTAATCGGCAACAGTTTTTTAAGCAAGATATGTTCTGTTCTTGGTCTTGTATGATGATAAACTGAAAAGGGTTTTGGAGTGTTGGTCAGACAAAACTATGGGCTTCTGGAACTTTTGCAATTTCCTTAAAAGTTTGAGCCGAAGCAGTTGATCGGTAGACCCACAAAAGTACAAAATACATTTTTTTGACAACTGCCCACATCTTTGTGAAATAATGGATAAGAAGTGATTAAAACAGTACTAGTGTCACACACACACATCCCTTTTTCTTTTTTTTTTGGTACGGGGTTTTTAGAAGAGAAGACCAAGCCCCAGTGAAGTGCAAATCCACAAATTCATTCAACACCACATGCACCCTGCTCAAATCAAAACAAGAAACCTCCTCTTCTGCATTTCTAAGACCCTGCTGCCAAAGTCAGTGGAAGGTTGTTGGCTTAACTCTTTCATCCCCGGCGGAGTTTTGCATCTTTGAAAACACAGAATGTTAAATACGGTCTCCAGCCAATAACCCTGCCGAGACCACAGAGGAAAATATTCTTTCCATTGTGAATAGCAGCTGCAATTCACGTGGGGATCTTTTAGGCCTTAAATTGCAGAACCAACATAAGAATGTTGCCTCCATTAAAATGGTTTCCAACCTCAAGGGCAACACCCTTTATTCCACGCTGATCTATGCTGTTTAAACCGTCCAGACCTGCTGGAAAGCTTTAGCACCTTTACCCTCCAGTACCCCAGGGAGACCTAGAGACTACTGTGTGTGTGGGTGTGCATTGTGTGTGTAGTGGTCTGTGTTAACCCTTATGGACTCTCGGGGCTACTGTATACAGTATTTTTCGACTGTGAGTCTCCTCCATAGAAGATGGATTAACCCTTTTAACTTGGTTTCCTTAGGCTGACTGCGTGTGTGTGTGTGTGTGTGTGTGTGTGTGTGTGTGTGTGTGTGTGGCTGAAGTCCAAATTGATGGATTTCTCTCCCATGACTATATGAGTTAAAAATTATGGCCCCTAGTTGTATGTCATATGAAGACGATGGGAATTGTTTTGTTACTTGTAGCCAAAAAACTGGAAGTGGTGTGTGTGTGTGTGTGTGTGCATGTGCGCGTGTGTGTGCGCGTGCGTGTGCGCGTGCGTGCGTGCGTGCGCGCAGGTTTACAAGTCCTCACGTGTGTTTCTGTCAGTCTCCTTTGTTCCGAGGAAAGAAATTGCCCCTTAGCCATTAGTTGTTACAAAAGAAGGTTGTTTCAGGTAATGGCTGTGTGTGTTCCTGTCTCTCACTTTGTCAAACGCGCGCACACACACACACACACACACACACACACACACACACACACACACACACACACACAACCACACACTTTACTTTTACCATGTGACTGATCACTGTGCAAAGGAAGAAAAGCAGAGCATTCCAGTTGATAAGCCCACCACCCTGCACTGCCCCGATCCTTTGGAGAACATAATGCAGGTCCAAAGAGGTGCGTGAGGGACGGACGAAGAAATAGTGACTGAGCAAGAGATGGAGACTTGCCAAGGAGGGATGGATGAAGAGGGAGATGCAAAGCGATTAGGCAAGAAGAGATGGATGGATGGAAGGAGGTAGAAAAAACAGGGGGGAGGGGATATTGATGTTTGTTCAGTAACTGTATCAGCTGGGAGCAGACGGAGAAAAAGAGTGAGAAAGTAGAAAAAGGCCGAATAACTGGTTATTGACATGTGCTGAGCTGCAGGCAATTTAGGCAGATCGGGAAGTAGAGTGTGTGAGGGAGGGGGGTGTTATCTTTTCTCCTGTGTGGATCAATCAGATGATGTAGTGATAAGACTCTGGATTACACCGCCATTTACACACTCCGTGTGTGTGTGAGAGACTCGCATGCGTCTGTTGGCTCTGGTTGATACACACTGACGCCCATTCAGTTCCACACTTTAGCAGTCAATCAGCAGCCTCCCGTCTGACACACACACACACACACACATGCCCGCAGTCTTGCCTGCACACATTTGGTTTCAGTCAAACCCAGTATTACCAAAGTAGTAACAAAAAGTGCTTTTTTTTGTATTCACACACAAACGTTTTAATCATCAAACCTTGGGCTGGTAGAAAACTTGGTACTTTCATTATCACTTTCATTATTACTTGGTACTTTCATTATCTATAATCGTGACGATTTCAATTAGTTGCTCATTTTGTTAAAAACCCAAAGATGATGAATTTACAATGATGATACAAAACAGAGAAAAACAACACATTCTCACATTTGAGAAGCTGGAAAAAGATAAATATTTGGCATGTGTGTGGCTTATCAAAATCAGCCAATTTCTACAAAAGCACAACATGTGTTAGTTTAACAAACCATTCATTGTCTGTGCCATTTAAACCCTACTTCATAGGCAACCGAGTATGCTGTGTGTGGTGACTGGTTAAGGCACTTTAAGGGTCAGTGGATCGCCCGGGGCGATGGGCCCCTCGTGACATGGGAATGCTCCAGATATTGTCACATGGTCACCAGCATAACCGCCATGTAACCGCCGTGACTGAATGCTTTACAATATGCAGAAGGTTTTGCACGGTGGCATTGTGCCGGAAAGAAATGAGTGTGTTTATGAATGGCTCATGTTAACATTTAGGATAATCAAGTAAAAGCGATGAAAATGAGGCACATATCGCCCGTCTTTATTCGTCTTTATTCCCACTGTGAGTGGACTTACAGACCGCTCTGCTGCTTTTAAGTTTTTTGAGGGGCGTCCTTGGAAATCACTGCGCTGAGGCGCTTGATGTCTTGGGCTTGATCTGGACCTTTGTCATGTTTCATTCCCTGTTCTCTCATAGTCCTCCTTCTCTCTAGGCTTTGAGCTGTTTAACCAAAATAAGGCTTCAAAATACAAAAAAAATGATAAAATAGACTGTGTGGCATCTTTTAGAACATCTTAATACACAATTGACACACACGACACATAGAAAGCCTCGTTCACTTTCGTGTTTTTTTTTTAGTTATTAGGGTACAAAATGAATACTATGAAATGACATCCTCTGCTTCAGAATTGAATTTTGAACAGTTGTGTTCTTCTGTGAGGGCTCTCGTCTGATTGTCTTTTGTCTTTTTTCCTCCAGCCGCTGCAGATAGACGATAACTTCTGTGGCCAGGACTTCAACCAGCCTCTGGGTGGAACCAGCACCATCGAGGGCACCCCCCTCTTCATCGACAAAGATGACGGCATGACCTCGGTGGCGGCGTACGACTACCGTGGCAACACCGTGGCTTTTGTTGGCACGCGTAATGGCAAACTGAAGAAGGTAGGAATGATTTTATTTCTCCCATATTTTTTTATATCCAGTCTTCCTTTTTTTCCATTTAAATGACGTGTTGGTTTGTTTTTTGTTTTGGTTGATTTTGAGCGTGTAGTAAAGTGTAACGCAAACTTGCTTTTTTGGTGCTTATCATTTCTAGGAAATTTAGCAAAAATGGATGCAAAGTTTTGTTTGGAATAGCGAGTAGATTTTCCACTAGTGATGGTTATTGTTCACTTAATGAACTGTGTGCTTGCAGCTTAATCGTTGTGCGTTTACACTGAGCACTTTGCATGGACTTTTTTTACACCAAGATTAAATGCAGTCAACTCCATTTTTCTCGCTAGTGGCCATTTCCAACAGGGCATTCAAGTGCCTCTTTAAAACATGTTCGTTTAACAAGCAATTTGAAGCAAGTCTGTGGCTACACCCCCTCATCGATTGTCATGTTAGTCACGTCACACATAAAATGTTACTGCTGTATCCTTACGCATCATACTGCCTCTAATTTTAAGAGCTCGCCTTCAATCAATCCAACAGCTCTGACTGCTGAATGGCTTTTCTGTTCTGGTCAGCTGTGTAGCGTGGATTAATCCAGGTGGGTATAGATGGAGGCTAGGACAGAGGGATAGAGCGCTGATGGATGGACCAATTCACTTTCCGTGTTCTGTTAGAGTTTGACTTTCAGTTAAACTTTCCCTTCGGAGAGCATCTTTAGCAGTTAATTTCTTTAGCAGTTAATTTCAAATTTAATTTTTTTTTTTATTACATTTTGAGACTAGCGGTTTGTGTCAACATCAGGTGCATATTTTGGCCACACTTCTGCAGCGGCTGCATCCTCTTGTGGAGGAATGAGAAAGCTCCTAAATGACACCATGTTAACTGTAAATGAAACATTAATGTTGGGTTGAGCCTTGGTAGACATGGTGATTGTATGTGAGATGTACACTCTTACAATGTACCATCATTACGATTCTATCTGTGCAACATGCTAATGTGCAGCCTGAATATTAGTTATTATGTGTCATGTCTTTGTGTGTGCGCGTGTGTGTGTGTGTGTGTGTGTGTGTGTGTGTGTGTGTATATGTATATCCAGTCTATGGACGACGGTTAGATGGTACCTCATTAGAATTTCTCGCCGCACTGCACAAGACCTGTCATCCATTCAATATTATGAATGTATAATCAGCCCGTGTGTTTGTGTGCTTTTAATGCCTGTTTGTGTATGCACGCAGTGTTTGTGTGTTTGTCACTCACAGTACGCATAATAATGTGTACGCCTGTGATGGCATGGATTTGTGTGCGAATATGTGTGTTTGTATTTATGAGGGAGCGAGAGACAACAAACAATACAGTGTTGACTAAGATTCAGCGCTGTGCATTTGTCAAAGTGACACCCATTCACTTAGCTTGGCAGTAGTCCCCTTATTTATTTAGCTGTCGTCACATGTCTCTTCTTCTGTGCTGCTGTGCACTCTGTGGAACACCTGAGAAAGCAATGCTACGGCAGGTTGCTGAGGTGTGTTGTTTTTTACGTGTGTTTGTTATGCATTTGTGTGTTTATTTATTTGTGTGTGTGTGTGTGTGTGTGTGTGTGTGTGTGTGTGTGTAACAACGGAGCCAAAGAGCCTGCAGTTCTTTTGGCTGCCTTCTGTTTCAGACAGAAAATCCCAAAACAACAAGAAATCTGGTCTTGGAAAATATTCAATTTGCATAGAAGGGAACAATATCTAAAACATTCTAGCAGACACACACGCACACACATTCACACAAACTTACAGCTCTGCCAGAAAAATAACGACAGTAAAGGGAGAAAGAGAAAAAAAAAAAAGCAAAGTAATGAAGAGATGATGAGAGATGGAAAAATGGAAACGGAGCAACTGAATTAGTAGCGTGTGATAACAGATAGTTCCTCACTGATCCGCCAGGCATTCGTCCTCTTCCACTCTGTGTCATTGCTTCTATAAGTGATTTTATATGTGTGCTGCGTGTTATCTTATCAGTAGAATAAGATGTTTGAGTCATCAGGACCCGTTTCTACCTGAGTGTGTTGTTAGCTCCTGGCAGTTTAATGGGAGTGCACGCAGACCATGATGCCGTGATGGAGCGCATTCCTCTTCCTACACTTTCCCCTGGAGAGCACTAGCATTGAATGCTGTTTATATAGCCACGACTGAGGGTGCTGAAGGGAGATAGGGGTAGAAACGGGGAGAATATTGGTAAGATGGATGACTGTGCTAAGAGGAGGCAGCTTTCTGGTCTGTTTTTCTGTCTTACTTTGAGAGGACGAGAGTGGAGAGGATTGTCAGTATTTGTCAATTCATCCACTCCACTCCTCCAGTGTTTGCCGGCACAAAAAAAACGATGGGAAAACTTTTATCATCATGGCTGTCTGCCAAATGGATCTTTTCTTCATCAGTGTACTCAAAGATGTTTCTTTTTTAAGCACTGTTATTTTACCTGAAGCGTCCCTTCATTTCTCATTTGGCTGGACTTGAAGTGCTTTGATATGCTTTGTCATCTCCACTTCTATTTTTAACCAACTCCAATGCTCAAGGTTGTCTGGAGCAACACGACGGTGGCACAAACAACATGTTTAATGCACTAATGAAGTCCCTCTGTGCTCTGTTGGCCATGCACACACACTCACACACACTCAGACACACGCATACAGGGGAAAGCTTTCACTAATGAGTGCTGGTTTGATGGTGCAACGATAGGAGATACAGGGAGAGGAAGGGAGATAGATATAAAGATGGAGCAGATAGAGAGGAGAGCAAGAGGAGGCGTAGCAGAGAAGGAAGTGATAAAGAGAGGCGATGTCCACTGAGGTGATTAACTAATTCCAGCGGTCATCTGGATACCACTGCGGTCAAGGACACAGCGGCGATACTGGCAACACGCTGCACTTAATATTTAGGATTAAAAGCCTTCATTCCCTTTGACGGTTTCATTATTTCTGTCTGCTTGGCTCGGCCGTGTGTTGCCGTTCATCTGTAAGCACGGCAGCTTTACATACTGTTTTTATATCTCACTCACACATCCTCCTTTTCAAGTTTCCTCGTCTAAAGAAACACCGTAACTAAGCCGCCTCTGTCTGTGTTGTAAAGCAGTCAGCAGATGGACATTCAACTGAAAATTGGGTGGTTCTCTCGGCCACTTCCTGCACTTTAAGGCGCTGTTGAGCATTGACAATGCGAGGGCATTCAGCATGACCATCACACGCTCGCGCACACATACATAATCTCAATAGGTGGGCTCACACCACCAGACAAAAGAGAGGATCCTAGTCGATAATCCAATACCTATTGTAAGTGCTTGTTTTTCAAAACTGCACACACATTTACACGCAAACACGCTTTAGGATTCCTCAGCTGCGCCCTCCTCCGGGGGGGGTCGATTTGAGCCATCTGCCGTGTGTATGCGGCCAGTGTGCCAGGTGGTAGGAGCCCCCAGTGCCCGCTGCGTGCCCATTGTGGCCGCGCCAGGCTCAGGTGGTGCTGCGGTGGGAAGTTGCCGCCATTCATCTGACGGGGGGGCATCGATGAAGCAACCTCGAGGCATCGAACAGCATGTCGGTTTCCAACATATGACTTAAATGTCTAGTGTAACAAAAGCAAAACCATACTGTAAAAGTGAAATAGATTAAAAAGAAGTTCCTCAATGCAGAATAAATGTCCTTCAAACAGGCATTCGTTAAGCCGAGGGCAGCAGAGTGTAAATGTCTCGCAACCAAAAGATAACATGACTGACCTCTGCACCAGTCAAAGTGTTTCTGTAAACTAATTAGCATTGGTTCTGCTGAGGTCTCCTTGAGCAAGAACATGAACCCCTATCAGCTCTGTTATCTGTAAAGACGAGAGGATGACGGCATCCACCAGGCAGCTACAATCTAAACAATAATAGTCACCTAATGCTAATCTAACAAATCTAATTAAATACATACATCACTTTGTTTTTACATTCACTACACTGGTCACGTGGCATTGTAGGGGTTAATAAAGAGTGACAGTGACGTACGTGAGTATTGCTGTGTGGAGTCAGGGATGTATTCCACTGGGACCGCCGGTGTCATCATCAAGAGACCATGTCACGGCCTAATTGACTGATGATTGTTATTCTACTGGTGCATAATGCTGCCCTGTCAAACTCCCCCTCGTGTGTGTTTCTGTGTGGTTTGCATTTAAATGTCTCTGTCCACCTCCCAGCCTTTAGGGGCCGGACCTCCACCCAAAAAGGCACAAATGAACACACTGTGGAAACACACCAATAATATTTGACCAGTAGATGAAGTCAGGAAGGAGAGAAGGTGTGTGTGTGTGTGTGTGTGTGTGTGTGTGTGTGTGTGTGTGTGTGTTATATGGCCGAGTGACTTTAAAGGGGGGTTGTGTCATCACTTGGCTCAGCCAGCCGCGCCACGAGTTGTATGGGGGGCAGCGGCACAGAGGCTGGCTTTGTGCAGACGTTTGGTAGCTCTTCGGTCATTAGTTCACACAACTGCCTGTAGTCACAAACAAATGCAGAACGGATGAGAAAGAGACGGAGAACGATGAAAGGGATCCGATACGGTAGAGGGAATAGAAAGTTAAGACCCGGCGCTCAAGACAAAACGGATAAATTACACTTTGCATTTAACACCGAGTCTTTTCCACTTAATTTAGCTCGGTCGCAGAGACCCATCAGTCATCCAATCTTATGAGGATGTTCCCAAATTAACAGCAAAATGTATCATTTTCTGCAGCGGTTTACCCTCTCTCCCGACTTTCAAATGGTGATTTTCCGATTACATACAGCCCTGTTAAGCTGTGACAAGCCAAGCATATAGAGTATATCTTTCTCGCCACTAGCATGCAACTTAGCGTGAAATCAACTTAATCAAATGAATTAGTAGCCGGCCAGCTAGCTCCACGTGCAGAGGACGATGTTGTATGGTGTTTGGCCTCTGCTGTCCTACCCAGAGCGACTACAGGGTGAATGCAAGTCCGCGTGTTTTTACATCTGTACAAGAAAACACCGCGCATTCGTCAGGTTTTGAGAATGAGTGTGTCTCTCCACATATGTGTGTGTCCTGCTGACGCGTGTGGATATCAATTATCTCTCGTCATTACCAGCCCCAGTCTTTCTCCCATCTGTTGGCATGTCCTCTTGTGTGGCTACACTCAACCCGACAAAGCAAAGCGCACATCATCTCCCTGTGGACGCTCACACTCGGAGCCTTGGAGGGTGTCATTGCAGAATTTCACACGGGGAATATAACATGCATGTGTGACTTCAGGCCTCGGATGCTGCCACCTCTGCTTTTTATCAGTGTGAGAGAAACAGCAGTATAGATTGTTGGATATTTTAAGTTTTAAAAAAATATCTAAAAGGCATCCATAAATCTAATTCTCACTCAAATAGCCAGTGTAAAACTACAATTATGAATTAATAAAAGGAATCATCCATTGCTTCTTCGCGTCGCCTCTCCGCTTCTGTTCTCTCTCTCATTTTCTCTGTTTCATCTGCTGCTCACATATTCTCTTTCCACTCTGTCTGTCTGTTTCCTTCTGTGATCAAAGATCCCTCTCCCTGATAATAGTTGAGCGTGTGTGTGTGTGTGTGGAGATGAGATGTCGTGGTCGCTATTTTTCTTTAATCATTTTCTCTCATTAAAGAAAGGGCAGACACAGGAAATGTACATACATGTTAAAGGTTTGCATGTAAAAGTACGTGCACAACCTTGCACACACACACACACATACTTTCACATCTTAGAAACAGGGCTTTAGCACTTAGGTTGTAAAGGTAGACAGTAATGAGGGGTCTTCTTAAAATATTTAATGCCATCCCAACTCCCACACAGTCTCATTAAACCAGTGTCTCTAACTCCACCTTTATCCTACAATCCACCCATGATCCACGTTTATACCTTACTGCCAAGCACAGGCGTCAATAAGGGACACGATGAAGTACCGCAAGTTGTACTTCAATTCAAATCTTAGTGGATGTCTCCACTTAAACTCAGCGCCAACTATTACCCAGTAATTTCACCAGTGTAAAGCAATGCATTCAAAACTAATCACTTCTAAATCTCTGGGTAAGTTACAGTGGGCTCCTATGTAGCAGTTCAGCCCGACGATAATCTCAGTGCTAATGCACTTTAGCCCGGTCCAACAGCGTGTGACTGCACTGCACGGCACTCATTCACTACCTCGGCGTTCCCATTCTAATTCACCACGACCAGGGGTTAATGAGGCAAAGTGAGGAGTAGAGGAGAAGGGGGTGGGGGGAGAAAGCCGGGAGAAAAAGAGACGGGAGGAAAAGAGAGCGCGAGGGAGATGAATAATAAATGTACCATGCTAGAATCCATTTTTAAGGGAAGATTAGAAGAGTCTGGATGCAAGCTGGGATGCTCACATGATCCAAGTGAGGACCTGTTTCTAGGTCATCTCTATTAGACATATCTGGATAGTGCATCAAAGAACCCCTGCTTTCTCAT